GATTCCCGCGCAAATAATTGTTCGATGTATGCAACAAACATTATTTGTTTTTCAGCAATATGGACGAACACACTAGTTGATCGTGTGAACGAGGGCAATATTTCGAAAGGAATCCAACAAGAATTGAGTTTTACGGTTTTACTTTGACACACCAAAAACAGAATGACTGAGACGCGTGGTTGTGGCGGACCACGTCTTACATCCTAATGCTCGTTCTCCACCCCCCTTTTTTTAAATAAAAAAGCGAAATATCAAGTGACAGAGACGTCTCTTTGAATTTCACTCTCTATAAATGCGGCCGCCAATGTTGAGAGTCAAACCCGCACCCTCGAGCATAGCCACGATGCTCCGTAGCCACTAGCTATCACTACGAGTGAAAGAATAATTTCCTAATCTAAGCTGATTTCTTGTACCTCATTAGTATCACTGTGCATTTTCGCGGATGGGTCTGAGTTCCGCCATGTTGACCGTGTTTCGCACCTGAACGAACAGTGTTACAACTTTGCAACTAGACGAATAGTCTTATGGTATAGGCAGATACGCATACGCTGTTTCATGAAATTTATTATTTAATGTCGCGATATGCAAAAACAAGAAAACATATACGTCACAACCTAAGATGGTGGCGCCCAGATGTTTTTTTTTTCGGAAAACAATCTATACGCTTGACGTTTCGGTCACTTGTTCATGCTGAGAAAGAAGACATAAAAAATAAAATTCAGTGAAAAAAAAAACTCGCAAGTTGGATCGTATACTAGAGTAATTTGCATAACATGACGGACTTTGCAAGCCAAACGCATCTGATACAATAGATGACAAAGGAGCAAATTACGATTGCCGAATTGGCGACAACTGCAGAGGTAAACAATAACATATGACGGCACAAAAAAGCCAGAGAAGCATACCTTTTGCAGTGTCGAGAGTTTGTTCCGTGAAAGACAGCGACTTGGTGGCTCTCGCGACTTCAACGCTTTTTTTTTTTTTTTTTTTTTGCAGAGCCTCGATGCGTTTGCTCTTGCTAGACGGGCTCGCAAACACCAACTCGCGTTACAAGTTCGTTTGCCGAGATCCCGCCCTCTTTTTCATGTTGGGTACGCGTTGCTCAGGGACACCCACACTGCAGCAACGCGAAAAAGCATGTCCTTTGGCATGGCTTCAGAAGGCTTGGCAGGGAGCGAAGGCCCGAGCATTTCTTAAGGGGCGAAACCTCGCGTTCCCGGAACTACACTGTGCCGGAACATTGGCTCACTTGGACGCCAGTTTAACAGTCAAGTCAACGACAGGGCTTCAGTGCTTAGCGTGGAGTCACGTGGCTTTGGAGTCGGTTTGTGGTCGTCTGGCGATGGACTCGACTTCGTTGAGTGCATTTCAATGGTCACCAACAGGCTCAGCTTTGAATTCTACGCTTCACGCTCGAGTGGAAGATTGACGGCGCACGCGAAAAGATTTCCCTTTCCCCGTTCGTGCAGCTGAAAGGATTAGGGCCGTTGCAGTGCTGCGAGCAATGTGCGTGATTCCGGTGAAAAGATTAAAGGCGCTGAGTCATGCCTCCATAGCGCGAGGCAGAAAATGGTGCTTTTTTTTTTCCTCTCACATTTTCAAAATATAAAGAAATAAAAATGGAGAATAACGTCGCACGTTGCAGTGTGACACCAAGGCCACAAAGTTTGAGTAATTTAGGCGGGGAAAGTGATAAGAAAACGCTGTCAAACGATGACTGAATTCAGGAACTTTGGTGACGCGCCTCGATTTTTCACCCATCCTTGTAGATTAAGAACAAAACAGCGCCTAAGATTGAACGAGTTAAGGAGACAGACAGCGCTGACTAACAACAGTTTTTTTTCTCGTAGAACGCGGCATCATGTATAGGAAGCAGGTATATCTGCGCAGAATAAGAAAAACAGGCGGATATGCGCATACTTGCGATATCAGTCCTAACGTAATCATAATCTATGCGGGCACAATATCCTATATACTGAAGCTGTTTTTAAGTTGTAAGTAATCGCCATGTCAGTGTCTTCGTGTTACCCCTCCTTAGCGCTGTTTCATTTTTCATCTACAATGCACCCACGCGCCCAAACACGCACATAACTCATTCTTATGTTTTTTCTCGTTGTTTTTTATTTTATTTGAATGACTGAAAGTTAAACAAGCTGCTATGCATATGGCTTAGTAGCATATACGCATAATTTTAATGTGTATATATCCAAGCATCTTCGTTGCCGTTATTATGTGTCCTCTTGGTGAGTTTTTCAACGCGGCATCTGTTTTCCAATCGCCTTTTGAACACTTCTCTTTTTTTTTACATTGACCACGGCACATTTTTTAACCGAGGCGCAATACAAAAGTCTGAAGCCATGTAAGGCTTAATGCCCTCCAATAAAATAAAAAACAATGATCCATGGATTCACGCCACGTGACTCCAGTACTTCCACCGTAACTACGTGAATGTTAGAGGGAGAAAAATCTTTTATATTGACACCCAAGTCCGGGTATGATGAATATGAGGTTTGTTAGAAAGGGATATTTATTAGGTTTAGTGTCATGAGGGGAAGGGAGCTGAGGACAAAATATTTCAGATGAAAGAAGAGAGGAGAATGTTCAGCAAACGTGTGGAGGCCATGACAGGAAGAGATTGATGTGTTCAGTAACTAAATCGCGCTACTCACTATACTGGCGTTTCCAGAAAGCATGTGATGAGACGCAAGCTAAAACAGAGTGAACACGAGGCTTATGCATACAAACGGTCCGAACAAAGGCGGCTTGATGTTCTAGAAGCAAGTGGTATTTTAGACGGCGATGTGACAGCGCGGATCCCTATCAAAATACCAAAAATTAAGAGGCCGAGTTTAGGAAAAGGCAGAATGTCACGAACGCCGAAAAACTGAAATGTCTAAAAAAAGGAAATTCGAATAGACATAACGCAGAGAACCACCTGAACCACATCGAAAACCACGTGAAATTTCATCTACTCAGGAGGGAAATTGACGACGACGCAGAGTGATAAAAAAAAGCTAATTTTATCTACAGAGACGATAAGTTTATGAGTTTGACAAGAAACTAGGAAGCGCGAAGAATGCAGCGCTAGAGTGATTACCGACCTTCGTGTAGAATACTGCCATAGTAATTACGAATACAGAAGAAAAGACCAGGAAACGCTACTGCACTATAGACTGCGGCTGGGTGTTGCATATACGCGATGATACTTATACAAGATCGGACCGGAGCAAAATCCTAACTGCAATTTGTGTCACACGCCAGAGACTACTAGTCACATCCTGTGCATGTGTCCTCAATACGCGGTCGAAAGACAATCTCTTAAGTACCTCACAGATCACTTAGACTGCCGACCCTCTTCGGAAGAGAAGCTTTTGGGTGCTCGGAAACGAGTGGCTCACGCCCAACGCAGCTTCAAAGGCATGTTCGCATTCCTAAGCAAGACAGGTTTAGATTCCCGTCTTTATAGCATCTACTAGTGTAGCTGATGTAGAGAATTTTGTGCGTGTCCTACACCGAACGAGACAGTGTGCGCAGTGACTCATTGTGCACTATCACAATAACACCTCACCATGCCCTCCTCTTTCTTTCCCTTTTTCCCTACGAGGAGTAGCAGGCTAGAAACTTGCTTTCCAGGCCATCCCCTCCTCCACCTTTTTTTTTTTTTTCATTAAATACCTTCTACTTCAAATACAGAGATCTTTCGAATCTTTGCTCTTCTGGATCATCACGTCCTTGAATATTGATGCTCGAAGAGAACGTTGAGAGAGCATCAGTGGCTAGAGGGCTCGGCTGCTGACGCGAATAGAGTTCTTCGATGCCCTGCGCATCGAGGCACCGACGCTCGCGGGTTCTATCTCGGCCGTGGCGTTCGACTCTTCGATCGAGGCGAAATGGTAGAAGCCCGTGTACTATGGACTATGACATGTTGTGCACACGTGGTTGCTTGGGCGAGTTGGTACGACATGATTCACATAAAAAACAGCACCAATAACGAGAGACAAGGAAAAGAAGGAGACAGCGCCGCCGTCTGTCTCCTTCGTTTCTTGCCCTCGTTATTGGCGCTGTTTTTTATGTGAATCATGTTGTGCAAGTTAAAAACACCAGATTGCCGAAATTACCCGAGCCCTCTACTACGGCGTCTCCCATAATCATGTGGAGGGTTTGGGACGTAAAACCACCGAGGAAGTGCTAACAGACCAATAGCCAAAAGGTTACGCGAAATTGTTTGGCAGGCTTCTCTGGCCAACTGTACGATGATGTTTTAAGTTTTCTATATATACAATAAATAGGACACAGCTTATTTGTCGTAAATGCAATACACAAAAATCGCTCTGCTATGCGATGATGGCATATGCAGTAATTTATATATTTCTTTTTTGAAGGCTTGAACCACACGCGAATGTTTCCAACAAGGTCATTGGAAACCTGTTGCACATTGTACAACTACAGAGGAACCTTTATGTTGGCAGGAATCATGATCTTCCACTACATGTCTATGATGATGCAGTAATTTTGAGGTTTCGACAGTTCAATGTTTTGGTGCTTCGATTTTCCGGCATTTGAAACTTTCGGTTTTTCATCAATTCACTTTTATGAATCTTCAGTTTTAAAGTTTGTCATTCCGATAATTCGGCGTTTTCATTTTCGGGTGTTTTAAACGCCACCCCGACAGCACATGAGTAGAAGCAGCAAAATCGGGCCCGGTGATACTTTTTTTAGGGGTAGGGGAGAAAGGGAACATGCATATTTTTAACGTCGGACAGCGGATTATGGAACTTTCATTGGAAAAGTTGCGTGGGAAGGAGACAATCAAGCTCGTCAATGTGTTCTGCGAACGTCCGTGGTGTACCTGGCAGGCGATGCGGGAAACTACAAGTTTGTCAAGTTTGTCAAGTCCGACACGGGCCAGCTGCGATAACTTTACTCACCTTTGCACTCATCTGCGTGGTGCCTGCATTAATAGCGTACTCTACATACAGCTCAGCCGTCCTATCACTCACCGTTTCAATGATCCTTGTGGCACTTCGACGCTGAGGGAGTGGTACGAGTGCTCACGCGTTAATCTTACAGCAGGTTAGGTTGGCGTGGCTTGTTTACAGACAGGTCTTGTAAAGCAGGCTTGTCAATTTTCGCCTCGCCTTTTGAACGGGCACCGAAAGCAACAACAGGAAAAGCTCGGCTCTTCTCTCCCTCCCACACTCTTCCCTTCGTGCGAGCGTCAGCGAGAGTGCTCACGCTCTTTCGCCGAACCCACTGTAATGCCTTAAAGACGTTTTGCCCTGGAAAAAAAGTTAGCGTTAAGTCCGGTTGCACTGAAGCCATGGTGGCATTTTCAACGTCGGTGTACACCTTCCTAACAGCGTCGCCGAGTCGATGATGATGATGATGATGATGTGATGGCGGCCGGCCCCTTTGCAACGGGGGAACACACTCAGTGTCCTGGCCTCAAAAAGAAAAGTGGGAAAAGAAAAACAAAAAGCACAGAGAAAAAAGAAAGGACCAAGAAAAGGATCCACACTCAGGAATCCTGTTGCAATGCCCCCTCAATTTCACTTCGGGAAACGAGATGTCTACTTCCCCGAAGAAGACGACAAAGGGTACCCAGGATTGGCGCCATTGTGACTTTATCACCTCATTAGAGAGCTTCAGTGCAGGGGAACACACAAATTCTTTTTCCGCAGAGAGTCGTCATGCACAACCGGACGGGGCAGGCGTGTGTGTGTAAGAAAGCTCCCTAGCTATCCGCCGATCGTGCTTTTCTGCACTGCCCCCCTCCCCGGCTTTTTTCTTGTGTTCGCCAGCCACGCCAAGCGTGAACACAAAGGAACGTGATGGGGACTCGCACTGATGTCAAATTTTCTTGCTCGGCGTTGCGCCGTGCTCCCAAGTGCCTTCTTCTGCTTCTAACAACTACCCCCTACCCCCCAACCTCCCATTCCAGTAAATAACCAGCAGGTGACTCGGCCCGGCCAGCTGGTATTTCAAGATGACGCCACGGTGACAATGCACCCATATGTGTCTCTATACATTTCTCGTTTTTCCAGAGCATTCTTCTCTTTAGCACAATGCCTTCTTGAGAAAGAGAAAGTCATTTGTACCGATAATATACTATGGGATAAATGAGATACTAGGGCATTTTCAATCTCGTTTCACGGTGTGGTCTTTGATAGACGAGAGGGCGCAAGAAGGAAGAAGAATGCATCTGCTGATGTTCTCCCTCCAATACGCTCTGTGGGCTCTTACATGAGCAACATGGCCTCTTCTGAGGACGTTGGCAACGGAATCAGCGGCAGCGGCTTGATGAGCAGTGATACCCCCCAAGCTCGTATAACCTCTTATGTATGATCTGTTGTCGTGATCGCATCATACCGGTTGTAAGCCGCACCACCAGAAAAAACACATAAGTAGTCGCCTGCTCTGTGCTGAGACAGAATCTAAAGATGTCTGGCAGCATTTAAAGAAGGCAGTGGCATATGCCCTCTATTCGGTAAGAGCTGATGGCTGCCATTTACCCAGTTGAAGACTACGAAGAACATTTCTCCCTGTTCACCCATTGACACCCGGCTTCATTCAAGGAATATTGAATATAAAGAAATGTTGTATAGTGGGCAGTTGGTTGGATAACGCACGGAGATCACGTAACTGATTCGTTCTTGAAAAGCAGTTTTTTTTTCAAGCCTGCGCCACCTTGTTGCGTTTTCTCATCATCAGGCTGTAGCGCCCCGACTTGTGCAGAACTTCATCTTCCTTTGAGATGTGGTAAAAAAAAACTAATAATTTAAGTTTGCATGTTATAATGCATGTTGTTAGGAATTTATTTCTGAAGATTAGTAGATTTAGGGGTGAAGCTTCTAAGGCCGTAGCTCTGTCCCTCTTAGCTCATCGTGGTACGTAACCACCTCAGCAGGTGCAGATGGACGGACGAAAAAACAGACAGGCGGACAGGTGATTCACGGTTTACCGATAAAGCTCTCCGAAGCTTCGCCCCACTTATCATCATTCATTCCGTGGATATGCTGTGATTTTTCAAATTCAAAGCATTTCTTAGCGAACTTCGTGACACGAACGTATCTATCTATCTATCTATCTATCTATCTATCTATCTATCTATCTATCTATCTATCTATCTATCTATCTATCTATCTATCTATCTATCTATCTATCTATCTATCTATCTATCTATCTATCTATCTATCTATCTATCTATCTATCTATCTATCTATCTATCTATCTGTCTGTCTGTCTGTCTGTCTGTCTGTCTGTCTGTCTGTCTGTCTGTCTGTCTGTCTGTCTGTCTGTCTGTCTGTCTGTCTGTGTGTCTGTCTGTCTGTGTGTCTGTCTGTCTGTGTGTCTGTCTGTCTGTCTGTCTGTAATGGTTCGATAATGGTATCGATCCCAAAATTGCGTGGTATAGCATAACATGACTGTATGACTAGCATAAGTGACTAGTCATATAACATGAAAATCATGACATGTATGTCATCAATGCCATGATTTACATTTCATGGCCTTGCTGCTGTTGCGGTGGTTTCATTCACAAACATGTTGCAAAACTGGTTTAGCATGACATGACCGCATGTCGAGCACAAGCGACAGACACTAACATGGAAATTATCACATGCATGTCATGTAACAACATGACTACAATGCACGCTCATAATGCGCTCGCAGTTGTTCGCTTGCTTCGCATACACTAAATGTGGTATTACAGGACGTGAATAAATGACGAAGGTATATGACTGGTGCACACATGTTAATTATGCGGTGCGTGTCATGTGAGAAGATGACTACAAGCCACACTCATGATGCACTCGCGGCCCTTTCGCTAGCTTCACATACACCAAGTTCGGTATTACGTGACATGAATGGATGACGAACGTATATGATACGTCTAAACATTGTAATTATTGCATGGAGGTGATGTATGATATAATTTACGTCCACCTCGTAACGTTGTGCAGGTTTTAAAGAGGCATATCAACTTGCTTCATTTGTTTTTCACATATAATCGTCGATTCCCAATGTACGTGGGATCTGCCTTTTTTTTTTTTTTCGAACGCACTTATGCTGGTCACGTTTTGGCATGAAAATGTAGCGTCCCGGGTTGCGCGGAACTCCATCGTCACCGGGTTGTCGTCAAAGACCTAGCAATCGTGTTTTTTTTTTCCTTGCGGTTATTCAATGCTTTTCGTCTGGTCTGCAAGGACAACTGTTTTAATTCGCAACTTAGACGACCTACTGGTGGCACCACGTGTACATCCAACATGACCCTCGTTGAGATGATCGCCCCGAGAGAGACGGTACTGGGAAATACACTTTTGGCGAACAGTGGAGTCAATGCCTCCTAGAAGACCTTGGTGCAGTTCTTCGCGCTTCAGTGGCCCCTCGATTATGTTTTTTTGGGAAAGTAGCCTATAGTGCTAACATGCTATATTAAGTAAATGAAAGCCAGGTAGCACAGTGGGTAGACAAATATGCACAAAATTGTAAATAAGACCCACACGTGCGCTCTTCGCATTGCTGACTGTGCGTAATCGCGCACCATTCCTGGTGTCATGTTGTAAAATTATTACAATGGGAACCTCAGTACGAATTTCTCAGTAATGTGAGAAAAATTTACGGAAACACACTTTGTGTTACAGTTTTGCTCGCATTACATTCTGCGCGAAGCTTGTTCAGCTTACCTAATAGCACGAAGCATAATAAGGAGACAAAAATTTTTTTTTCAATACCGAAGCACGAGAAACAACTGCGGCATGTCATATTACTGGAAATATGATATTAGGGCGCTTTCTTGATTAAAAAAAAGAACAATAGAATATCAAGAGAATGAAGTCGGCAAGTAGCTGCGAATGAAACCAGCGGCGATATGCCATTTTCACGCGTAAGAGGTGGCGCTCTCGCGACTATTCTCTGTTCCGCTGTTTGAGAAGTACAAAAGATAGCATAGTGCGCGACAGAAACGACAGAAAAAAAAGCGCCGTCTGCAAGAAAGACCGTACACGAATTGCTGCAGATGTGAAGATCATGGAGGCACTTCGCAGACGCATCAGACGTGTGGTAGTGGGTCGATAGGGGGGGAGGGGGGCTGAAGCCTTCCTCCCCCCTATAAGGGCCTATAAGGGCATCTGCCGGGTGATGGCTGTATAAAAGCTCGAAAAATTTCGGGAGAGAATAAGATGCCAATCCAGGCAGATTGATCGGTAGTGAGGTGGTTATATCTTATACAACAGTAACATGTGTATATGATAGTGCCAGCCAGACAGTAGTGTCACTGCAATGGTTACATGACAGGTGTAGTACAGTAGGAGTTATTGGCACATTTATAACAATAATAATATAAAACAAAGTAAGCGCCAAGTTATTTGTTGAAATTTACGCTAGAAGTAACTAACACACCGAATGACTTCCTTCGAGTCACTTTAACGCGCGCATAAGGAGCACTGTCAGTTCATTTCATGCGTTTCCAAGCTATTCAAATGGATTTACGTGGTCATCATCGTCATAATCATCAGCCTGACAACGTCCACTGCAGGACAATGGCCTCTCCTGTTGCAGATAAAGGAGGAAAAGGGGGCAGCGGGCACGAGCACTAGCCAGGGGCGCTGGCTCGTTCAGTCGATCCCTGGACCTTCAACGCAGCCAGACAATCGCGTCCGGGTCCCCTTCTTAATTCATTTCTGACACTTCGTTCTTGTGCCGAAACCTACCCGGTCGTGTGGCCTCCGACATCGACAATAGATCAACTCCGAGTACAGCGCGGCCTCTACCGGACATCCATCACCAAGGCAATATCGACTCTCGACACCCTACTGGCAGACTCGATGACCCCTGTTCACAGGCTCCAGGAGCTCATCGAAATCACTGTGGCGAAACACGCCCACCTCACCACCTTCGACAAGGATATTCAAGCTGCGCTACACGGTGAGGACCTCGAGGCAGACTTGACCGCAGTAAGCGAATACGAAGATCGGGTCATCTGCGCTAAAGGAAAGGTTCGACGGCAACCGAGTTGCAGTTGCCAACACTACCCGCCTACGTCGACGTCACAACCACCTCACTCAGTTACCCCTCGCAGGCACATCGCAGCCAACTGCAACCTTACCTTCGCCCGGCCTTCAGACTCCCACGATGCCGTCTCGCCTC